CCCGACGGATAATACTTTTGCTGTAGTACAGAGGTGCACCTAACTGGTACGCAGGTTATGTGCGTAATCTGAAATGCGTACCGTCACTTGTGTCACAAAGCGCATTTGCGTACCGACGTACTTGTGAAGCTTTTTCAGAAGGCGGTTAGATCACCGGACGACAGAGTCGGTCTCCGTGTGCACAGACAGGGCTGCTGTTAACGCCGGTCTGTACAACGGAATTGTGCCAAAACTACGCCAACCGGCTGCGGAGGGAGACTCCCCCCCCTTCACTGGAGAACTGCGCTAAAACAGCTGATCACAACGTTCACACTGTGGTCACGAAGTACTCCACTAGCCCCCCCCCCCGTCGACTTTCCTGAAGTACTCCCCCGTTGATAGATCAACACGTAATGAATTCAGACCCCACGGTATGATGATTGATAGGTGTGTGGGCTGTCTTTCATTTTGACAGGCAGAAAAATGTTATAATAAACATAGATACTGTATGTTAAATGGATATATCTGCCTTCTTTCATTTATCTTTCCATTCCCACAACAATATACATAAAGAAATGGCATATTTTGGACATAGTTCGAATGGTGATTAATCATGATTAATTAATTTTTAAGCTGTGATTAATCTGATTAAAAATTGTAATCGTTTGACAGCCCTAGTTATAACACCATGATCCAACCCTGTACTATATAGTGTGTTAACAACAGGCAGTGTTAATCATGTTTAATGTAACACCAGGATTTTCACACTGGCGAATTTGCTGTGTGCTAGTGGAGCCTCGCAGCGGCGAAACTGTGGCGCTTACACTGTGACTGTAGGTGCGCCACGTTTGCGCTTCAGATGAGGCTCCCTCCGCAAAATGAGGCCCCATGCGCGAGGTGAGGCCCCATAGGGAGGGTCCTGTATAATAACGTCATATGCAGTCATTTGGTCTTGAGCAACAGCTTGTGAGAGCAGCGCATTCATCTGTGTTCGTTTTAATGCTGCCAATTTGTTCACGGCCTGTGTGTTGATGGGACTTCTCATGCTCCCTAAATGTTTCCCCTGCCTTTCGCAAGTTCTTAAACCCTGCTTTCACGAAACTCCCATCCCTGATCTCGCACAGACAAGCTTATTTTCTATAGCAGAGCAACAGAAGAAGCACACCGCATGATCACTTTCTATTATAGTAAAGCTTTTTATAGACTGCTTACACTAAAATGCTAACTCGAAAATAGTAACTCAAAATAAAACTTTTGTATTGATTTGTTTAGTGAACTTTTTGGCGTTGCAGTTACAACTCTCCGCCAATACTCTCCTGCCACTCCAACATCCAATCCCAGAGCTTGAAGATTAATCACAGGGTTTGTTAAAGCGGACAGGCGTCATCACAACAATAGCTGGGGATTGTGGGTAGTGTAGTCTCTTTGGCGCTCCACATTTCAGAGAAAACAAGTTGTTTCTCAGAATTGAAGGGGACAAACACAAAAGCATTGTACACAATTTAAACCTATCAATGTTGTTTAATTAACAAGGATAATCTGGTGTTTTTGAGTTGATGAGTAGTGGAGATATCACTGTCAAATCAATCGACAGTAAGGAGAATACTTAATTCCGGGTGTACAATTCTCCGTTATCCAATGGGAATGGACGCTCACATTGCCTTGAAGAGCTGCCGACATAAATGGATGCGGTGCTTCCATGAGCGTCAAATACCGCCGCCGATGGGAATACATTGCAATCAGTTGAAAGCTCTTTGCGTCCGTTTATGAAGCTGAAGGAGCCTCTGCGCGTCACAAATGGATGCCACGGGACCCTGACCAAGCGTCGCTATTGGACTATCAGGGAGAGAGAGAGTGTTGGTTTAGATGGATTTTAGGAAATTCCCTTCGATTCTATTGGCTCTAACGGTTAAAAAGAGATGTCAATCATCAAAATCGACCGAGGGGGGCCAGAGATATGGAAAATGCACCCAAATGACCCCAGTAGGTGTTCTTTTCTAAATCTCTCTAAAAAGGTCAAATGTCACTTGTTTTCAGTGGCGTGCACAGACATTTATAGGGGCAGGTGCTCAAGAGAAAAAAAAGGGCACCTTCTGAGTCGTCGTGGCGGTCGCGCCGAAATTGTGCGCTCCGAAATTGTGCGCAAAAATTTGCCGGATAATGGCGGATTTTGTTAGTTTCTTTTCGGTTTTTGGTTACTTTATTTCGGTTTTAGGGTTAGGGTTAGGTTAGGGTTATGTTATTTAATTCTTATTTTTGCCTGATTTTACTGATTTATTATCAAAACATTTATTATTTTAACATTTATTTGTATTATTCTAAATGACTTGGGGGGGTCCAATCTGAAATTAAGAGGGGGACGAAATCCCCCCCCCCCCCCCCCCGGGATTGACGCCCCTGGTGGAACCGCCGGCTGCCTTAGCAGTGTGAGATGTATTAAAGGCACATCTTGTATGTCATAATTGCATATATATTTATTTCAATAACCATATGCTGTCTGATGCAGATGCCTATCTAAAACAAATCAAATAGTAGGCTTACTAGCTTCTACACGCTAAAGCAACTGTAGTCAGGGATGCAAACTCATCAGGTATGAAAAAGGTGACAAGGATCCGAGCCCCCCGACCCCACGGAATATCGGCTTTAAAATTAGGAATAACAGAGGATTTTAGCAGTCAGAGCAACTAAAGCAGCAGGTAATAATAACAGAAACGCCAAAGAGTTACATCTAATAGAAATATATAAAAGCATTTATTTTAATTGTGTAGCAGTCAGTTTATAATTTTGGCAGCACTGTTGAGCATTTTGAAAATGTATTTTCATGCCTCTTAGTATTTTTATAATACTTTTCTACTTTCACTTGAGGAACATTTTGAATGCAGGATTTTTACTGTAACAGAGTATTCCTACACTCTGGTACTTCTACTTTTACTCAAGTACAAGATCTGAGTACTTCTACTTTTATTAAGTACAAGATCTGAGTACTTCTACTAAAGTACAAGATCTGAGTATACTTCTACTTTTACTCTAGTAGCCTACAATCTCTATACTTATACCACCTCTGTTTATAGCCTATGAAAAAAACTATTAGAAAACGAAGGCTAAAGCTAACGTTAGCAGATAGTGACAATGATATTGCGACAGAACAACTTTTCAGTTCACATCACGCTCTGCCGCTCTGCTCTGAACACCTGAACGGCCCGTTCTAACCGCTGTTCACCAGCGGCTCAGTCTGTGCCACAGTGACTCCGCACAGTTAACGAACACACCGTAGATAATGTAGCTGACCCTCATCCCGGAGCAGCAGAGTTCAGCCGGCCCGACAGGCAGGAAGACTCGAGCACACAGCTCGCGCTTCATATATTAAAAAAGAACACCATGCGCGTCATGATGGCACATAACAGCTCGCGACCGCAGATTATTTCGGCGATTAGATTAAATGTAAATTATATTTGACGCAACTTGTTACATTTCCATGACTTTTTCAAAACTTTGGGAAAAATATTGTTTTCCATAACTTTTCCAGGGCCTGGAATTTGCATTTTGAATTTCCATGACTTTTCCAGGTTTTCAATGACCGTACGAACCCTGTATAGTTTAGTTTGGCATCTGATTTAGGGGATTAAACAATACACTCGTTGTATTTGTTACCTGGTGGTTACTTACTTGGTCGTCACTAGGGCACTTTTAATCGTGTTGCTGCGTGCTGCTGCACCACACACCCGCCGTGGCCTGTCTGACTGTCAGCTCTGCGCGCTGCGCGTTCACGTTGAGAGCAGGGAAGGGAGGGGCTGCAGCCAGAGCACGTATGGGAGTGCCGCGGGGCACGTGTGGGGATGTCTGACAAAATTACAACGCGCATTTGGGGCATTGTTGTATATATTAGAAGCTTTTAATCCAGAATTGATCGATGTTACCATACAAAAAAAAAAAAAACGTTCAAAAGGGCACATTGCTGTCAAGAGGGCAAAACGGGCAGGTGCTCAAGCACTACCTAGAGTCTATGTGTGCACGTCTCTGCTTGTTTTGCATCAATCTTGATACAGGGTACTTATTATATGTTATATTTTTGATTCCAAAAGCTTTTAGTCTACTATCCCATCATTCAAAAGTAATTTTTTTCTTTTGGACGGACACTATAATTTACATTTTTTTACTGTGTTCAATCTGAATTTACTTTAAAATAAAAACATCTATATTGATTCTGACACATCTACATTCAACTCACAGATGTAACCATGCTTTGAGAAAAAGGATTATTAATTTACCCCTTTTAGAAGGGAAGATATAGTCATTTGTTCTGGGAATGTCATTTTCGAGCCTGAGACCTGAAAAACAGGATCAGGGCTTAACAGGTTAAAATAGAAGCCTCAGGGTGATTATAATAAGGGGAAATATGAAAGGTCTATTTCAAACTTGTTATTTAAATAAGTTATTGGGCTTTTTTTTATCAGCTAAGATGTGTTAGAAAAGGTTTTCTGTGAATTGACAGAATTTATTTTAAAAGTGGGCTTATTAACAAGTGAATACTACTGTGTCATATATTTTTACATATATATTTAATTAGTACAATATAAGAAAAGCACAAGTTTCATTTGTGGGCCATATGTCATTATACTTTTTGAATTTGCTGAGGGCTGATTCAAAATGGCCCGCGGGCCGCATTTTGCCCCAATGCCATAGTTTGGACACCCCTGCTGTAAGGTGATATTTTGTATCTTTTTATGATACATTGTTTGCACAACATTAAAGAAACACCAGGAACCACTAAAGTCCTGTAAGGTAATGTTTCTGATACATATCAAGATTGCAAATTAGACAAGTTTAAAAAAGATTCCCTTTCAGGACTTTAGGGGCTCCGTAGATACCAGAAAGGTTGGGCAATAATTGCTGTCTTTCACTTGCACTTATATAAACTTTTAACAAAATTATATCTGGCAAGTGAACCATGAAACTTTATGCATGCAAACAAACGTTATTCATTCACATAAGTGCAGTCAGTTCACAACATCCTTTCTCACCTCCTTTGTTCTTGAAGTACTCTGAGTCTTTCCACATCAGCGGGACACGCAGGTCTACAGGGGGCAGATTTTTTTAAAGTAAAATATAAAAGCTAGGTTCAGGTATCTTTATGAATTTGGGTCTATGTATTTTGTGAACCCTCACCTGAAAGGGATACTTTTCCCAAACTTGGCACAGCCTCTTCAGAGGGCCTGTAGTAAAACAAGCAGATCATCATAACATACGTACATAAACCCTGATGTCTAAGTACAGTCTGTACTGGGACACTGAAGGATTCCAATAAACAACAGCACCAATGACAGCCTTAAGAAAAATACCATTGAGTTGAATCCACATGTCTGCAACGCAGTGTAATTAATGTGAAATTACATGTTTCAAATTCTCGTTTGTCCCTCATTACATATAGTACATGTGACATGCACAAATGCACTATCAACACAACACACCAAGTAAACCCACACATCTGAACAAATTTGTTGAGAGATGGGGACAAAAACCCAATAGTAACCAATGCCATGTGTTTTTAGGGCCAACTTCAAATGTATTCTCAAAGAAACCAACCCTATACATGAAGTGCTGAAATAGGCTTGAGTCCTTTAAAGAGATCACTGAATATCATCATTTATTTGATTATATCACATTAAATTGTTACTCACCTTTTTTATTGTATGAATAAGTATTTTAGCATTTATTTTAGCACCATGTACAAGGTCATTCCAGATGAGCCCTACACAAAATGACCTTAAGGGGTTTTTAAAAGTTACCTTTCTGTCCCCAGAGTCAGAACTGAACATGGAGAAGCAGCGATCAGTTATGATGCTCCAAATATCTGGAACACACTCCCAGAAACCTGCAGGTCCGCTGTAACTGACTACTTTTAAATCCAGGCTGAAGACTTTGTTTTTGCCAATTTTAATTGAACTATTCATATCTCACACTGCACTGTAACTTTTTTAAATCTATTTTATACCTGTGTTATTTATTTTTAAGCTTGTTCTATGTTTATTTTATTATTTTATCTTTTTAATGACTGTTTTAAATGGCCATTTCATAACGTGTTTCCGGTGCACTATTTCTTTATGATCTTATTATTTTTTTGTTTTGTCAAGCCTTTTGAATTGCTTTGTATTGAAAGGTGCTATATAAATAAACTTGCCTTGCCTTGCCTGACCTCTAGTGGCTTGTAGGAGGATTGTTAGTCCACAACATAGCCTTGCCTCCACTCTAAACTGCAACATTCTTTGGTCCCTCTCCATTGATAACAGCTCTATGATCTTTCTTTTTACCCATGCATTCAACACATCTAACCTGTGTCCCACTCTCTGCAGGATCTGAGCCTTCCTCATCCTCTGCAGCTGGCTGAGCAAGGCCAGGATGCGGGCGCTGCAGGTCAGCAGGCTCTTGGAGGCCTCCAGGGCCTGCTCTCTCCTGGAACACGCTGCCAGCAGCTTACTGGCCCCCTCCCGCATCCGCACCTCCCTCTCAATCTGCCTCAGCACCTCTCCTTCCTGTTCAAGATGAGTGGGAAACAGAATATTCTTTGAATCATGTTGATGAATATTCATATTCCTTTGACTGGAAAGACATACAGCTAAAAGTGCTTGGTAGGAATGATCCATGATTAAAAGGATCAATCATTCAAAAGATAATTTCATTGAATTATTAGCCATGCTAGGTTTGGACCTGAATCTGAAGTGGAAGGAAAGCCACAACACTTTGTACGTCATAGTCCACAGAGAATAAAGCCTGATTACTACCTCTGATTTGTCATCCATTTCATTAGCTCAACAGCTAACAGACCGTTTGGGGATTTTTTTTTAATGATTTCCAAGCAATGTATCGTAATGGTTGAACCCTTGGACTTTTTCCTCTAATGCATCATGTTGTTTTAAATCAAATGTCTTGATAGCTTTTTGGCAGATTTTACATGATTTTGGTTCACATTCATATCGGGCCCCCTGGCTTATCTTGTTATTTGATGTATCGCTATGTGAGACACTGTGAGTAATCATTTTGAATTTCACTGTTGGTAATCTACAATTCTAAAAATGACAACCGAACCATTATATAAAGGCTTAGTCATTTTTTGTTATTGTCCTTGTCACTTACAACCTTCTGATCTTTCTGGTAAAAGGGTTTTATAAGACTCTTGGGGCGACAGGGAGAAATGAGTGCATCACATAATCTCTGGATGAAGTCCAGCTGGAACCTTTCAGGGCTAAACTCTATTAAGGATATGACAAGGTGTCTGTTGTTGGAACAATGTTACCTTTGTGTTTGTTTGTCACACCAGATGACATATTTTCTTTGATAGGTAACACAAGCAATAGTGTATAGAGCGATGGAAGAAATGTCCTGATGTAGTAATGGAATTCCTTGACGAAATACTGTATTGATAATCCACAATATCATATTTTCAAAGAATATTTTTTATGAGAGGTTTCTTGTTGAGAATGCTGGTTGTTTTACGTTGTTGACATAATAATGTGTTGTGGTAATGATGAAGGATTTTTCATTGTATTTACACTATAAGAAAACTGTTAACTTGTAGAACTTCAGTAGACCTTGAAAACAACTTCCCCTCTTTCAAACCCCCAAGTTCTGTTTCCCTTGGTTTGGACCACACCCATGTCTGAAGTCAGCTTTAATTCTGATGTCAACAACACACCTGTCGCTTTGTTTTATGACAAAACCAAGTGAGAGAGGCACACAGCAATGTTGGCAAGATGACACTAACATATATTAAGTTGTGAACAATACAAGTTGTACATTATGTTGCAGCTATATGTGATTTTGCTAGATTTATTACCAGCCGCGACACACAGGCCAGACATAGTGTAGCAGGAAACACCACCTAGGCGGTTTTGAGTCTGTTGCCAGGTGATCTTATTTCTGTCTGTCTGTCTTTCTATAGACATATTTTCTCACCCTGATACAGTTACAACTGTTCCAGATGCAGACAGGAAACTTCCCAGGTGTGTACACAAATCAAAGTTAAAGCAGAGTTCAAAGATTGTTGTCCGAGCAAGGGTGCCGTTACCAGGGGTGAAGTAATGAGAAAGGGGTAACTGGACCCCCAACTTGACAAACACTTGAATACATTAAGGTCCTCTGGAATAACAACTCAGTTACATCATACACATGTTGCCATTATTGGTATAATAAACAGCCTCAGCAGGGATTTTAGTTTCACAATAGACATCATGACTGTAACCCATTGTAACTGGGCATTCTTTTGAGGTTTACTGTGCATTACCAAGCTCTGTTGGGGGTGAGGTACAGCTTGAGGGATCAGAAGGCTGCTGCATACTTCAGCCATGTTTTCTGAGGCTAAGCCATGTGCATGAGTAGTGATTTGGTTGTGGTCCTGAATGTTTACTTAACATTACATGTTAGACGCTTTTATCCAAAGCGACTTGCATACTCAATACTGTGGGCAATCCCCACAGGAGCAATTTGGGGTGAAGTGTCTCAGGGACACAACGACATGCTGACTGCAGTGGGGTTTGAACCTGTGACCCCTGATCCCAACACCAACGCACAACCCACTGCACAACACGCCTCCCTAACCTGTTGTTCACTCAACTGACCCTGAATAACATTACAAGGTTTGTTTGTACCATATTTAAATACCATCAAATAATAGAAAGGGCACACTGGAGCCTAATGATGACAGGATTCATTGTGATCAACAATATAATAGGCTATGTATTAAACTGGCAATGATTAATGAAACATGTTAAAGTAAAAATCATAAACAAATAGTTAATTGCAAGATATTAACATGTAAAATAAAATGATATATATATCCTGAATAATAAAGAAACAATCATACAAACATTCCTGTGAAAACCTTATGTAAATTCCTTTGATGTATGAATCATCAATGCATAAAATACAAAATAATCATTTCCCCCAACTAACCTGGATGTTATCGCTCATGTTCCCTCTGTGCAGAGCCTCAGAGGTGCGCTCCGGTCAGCAGGCAGTACAGTGAGTGGGGGACTAATCTCACAGCTGGCTGAGTCCCACAGTGGACCTGTGGACAGAGCAGTTACTCAACAGGGAGATCAACAGTCTTAAGCCACTACAAGAGGTTGCAGCATGAGGGATTAGTATCAATCCTTAGGTTTCTATTTTTTTTAAGTCAGCTGTATCACATGCAACAATGACTAGCTTCATTTGCAATCATAATAGTATACCATACCCACTGAACATTAACAGTATCTTACAAATGTGCTATTTACATAAACAAACAGTACTTTTAGTTTCTAGAGCTTGTATGAATCTGTAAGAAAATCTAAAATGAGTTCCATCAACATTAAAAATGTTTTAGCAAACCAGAATCTTAGATGAAAGACTAAATGAAGCGGTGCTGGAAGAATACATTTTATTCAGACCTTACAGAATTCCATGTGTTATTTTAATGAACTTATAAAACATAATAACACATGATGTGCCTTTGTTTCAAGTATCAAACATAATACAAAGAATGCTTTGAATCTCTACAAGGACCTCTTTAACATTGAACTGAACAACATTATGTACAGTACAACAAAATGTCTCAATGAGAGCTTATTTTAAATACAAGTTGACTACCTTAACTTTACATGGGGTGTGTTTGCAGGATAAAATGAAGCCATTTAAAAAGGAAATTCAGTTTTCGAAATGGAAAAGCACATTTTAAGACATTGTTTTTTGTCAAATACAAAAAGATGAATTAACATTTGCAATATGTACATATATACATGATGTCAAGTAATCCGGGTTTTTTCATGGAACAGATATGAAAAAGAACAATCAAAAAAGCCAGTGTACAATATTTACATTTTCCCAGGTAACTAAAAAAAGGTATCTGAGGCGTGAAACATAATGGATTATTGTAAAAATCCTCATTAAATGAAACAAGTGATTTACCGGTGTTTGAGTTATTAATTTGTACAATGTAATATTCATTATTTGATACTGGCTTTTTAAAAATAATTTTCAGTCAATTGAAACAACTGTACATATTCAAAGTGCTTGTGTAAGTATAGCAAATATATCTTAATTTAATTATAACTGACAGCAAAAGCAACAAAAAACACTTAGTTATAAATTAATCTATAACTTAACACATCAGAAATGTAAAAAGAGCAAACCACCAGTGGGTTCCTCCTCTTTCCCAGACTCTTCACAGCTGTCACCCCTCTTCAGCATCTGTAAAAATGTCACTTAGGAAGTACTGAGACACACTGGTGGGCTCCTCCTCCATATATTCATATATTCTTGGCTGAGAAGTTGAAACCTGAAAGAAAAATGATAAATCGGTGAGTTAAAAAATTAACTGAATCAAGATGGTTCCCTATCCACCTCTGTCATCCTTACCTCAGCTGGAGTTTGCTCTGAGCGTAGTCGGCTGTGCTCTGAAGCATGTTGCCCCGGTTTCGGACCGGGTTTTGGGGTGACTTCACATGGTGTTGAGGCTACAGCTGCCGGGGTCGATTTTTTTCCTTTTGCACGAGGAGTTTTCACCTTAGGGCTCTTAGAAGCTGCTTTGCCAGGGTCAGAATCCTTTGCTTTTCTGAAAGTTAAATGGGAAAGAGAAATTAAGTCGCATTCAAGTACAATTGATATACAGTGGGGCAAAAAAGTATTTAGTCAGCCACCAATTGTTCAAGTTCTCCCACTTAAAAAGATGAGAGGCCTGTAATTTTCATCCTAGGTATACCTCAACTATGAGAGACAAAATGAGAAAGAAAAAAAAAATCCAGAAAATTACATTGTCTGATTTTTAAAGAATTTATTTGCAAATTATGGTGGAAAATAAGTATTTGGTCAATAACAAAAGTTCATCTCAATACTTTGTTATATACCCTTTGTTGGCAATGACAGAGGTCAAACGTTTTCTGTAAGTCTTCACAAGGTTTTCACACACTGTTGCTGGTATTTTGGCCCATTCCTCCATGCAGATCTCCTCTAGAGCAGTGATGTTTTGGGGCTGTCGCTGGGCAACACAGACTTTCAACTCCCTCCAAAGATTTTCTATGGGGTTGAGATCTGGAGACTGGCTAGGCCACTCCAGGACCTTGAAATGCTTCTTACGAAGCCACTCCTTCGTTGCCCGGGCGGTGTGTTTGGGATCATTGTCATGCTGAAAGACCCAGCCACGTTTAATCTTCAATGCCCTTGCTGATGGAAGGAGGTTGTCACCCAAAATCTCACGATACATGGCCCCATTCATTCTTTCCTTTACACGGATCAGTCGTCCTGGTCCCTTTGCAGAAAAACAGCCCCAAAGCACGATGTTTCCACCCCCATGTTTCACAGTAGGTATGGTGTTCTTTGGATGCAACTCAGCATTCTTTCTCCTCCAAACACGTCTAGTTGAGTTTTTACCAAAAAGTTCTATTTTGGTTTCATCTGACCATATGACATTCTCCCAATCCTCTTCTGGATCATCTAAATGCTCTCTAGCAAACTTCAGACGGGCCTGGACATGTACTGGCTTAAGCAGGGGGACACGTCTGGCACTGCAGGATTTGAGTCCCTGGCGGCGTAGTGTGTTACTGATGGTAGCCTTTGTTACTTTGGTCCCAGCTCTCTGCAGGTCATTGACTAGGTCCCCCCGTGTGGTTCTGGGATTTTTGCTCACCGTTCTTGTGATCATTTTGACCCCACGGGGTGAGATCTTGTGTGGAGCCCCAGATCGAGGGAGATTATCAGTGGTCTTGTATGTCTTCCATTTTCTAATAATTGCTCCCACAGTTGATTTCTTCACACCAAGCTGCTTACCTATTGCCGATTCAGTCTTCCCAGCCTGGTGCAGGTCTACCATTTTGTTTCTGGTGTCCTTTGACAGCTCTTTGGTCTTGGCCATAGTGGAGTTTGGAGTGTGACTGTTTGAGGTTTGGACAGGTGTCTTTTATACTGATAACGAGTTCAAACAAGTGCCATTAATACAGTTAACAAGTGGAGGACAGAGGAGGCTCTTAAAGAAGAAGTTACAGGTCTGTGAGAGCCAGAAATCTTGTTTGTTTGTAGGTGACCAAATACTTATTTTAAATCGAGGAATTTACCAATTAATTCATTAAAAATCCTACAATGTGATTTCCTGGATTCTTTCCCCCCATTCTGTCTCTCATAGTTGAAGTGTACCTAGGATGAAAATTACAGGCCTCTCTAATCTTTTTAAGTGGGAGAACTTGCACAATTGGTGGCTGACTAAATACTTTTTTGCCCCACTGTATACCAACATGAAAACTGGAGGACTTATCCAGATCTCAACAAAGGATTTTTCTTAAAACCGTTTTTCGTCACCTATTCCGACTACTAGTCCGTGTAGTTTTTGCTCCTGAGCTGGTGCCCTCAGGGTCCACAACATCAGTTAGAGTCTCCTTTTCCACTTCTACATGATCAGCCCTTCCTCTCTGTGGCTCAGTGTCGTCAGAAGCCTCTGGCTGCACAGAAGGCCCAGGAAGCTCCAACTGCTCCGTGGTGTCTGTTTGGATGGGGAGGGACTCAGCATCTGTAAAAATGTCACTTAGGAAGTACTGAGACACACTGGTGGGCTCCTCCTCTAGAGAGCTGCTCTCCATATATTCACTTGGCTGAGAAGTTGAACCCTGAAAGAAAAACGATAAATCGGTGAGTTAAAAAATGAACTGAATCAAGATGGTTCCCTATCCACCTCTGTCATCCTTACCTCAGCTGGACAAAGGGAAGTGCTAGGAGTTTGCTCTGAGCGTAGTCGGCTGTGCTCTGAAGCATGTTGCCCCGGTTTCGGACCGGGTTTTGGGGTGACTTCACATGGTGTTGAGGCTACAGCTGCCGGGGTTGATTTTTTTCCTTTTGCACGAGGAGTTTTCACCTTAGGGCTCTTAGAAGCTGCTTTGCCAGGGTCAGAATCCTTTGCTTTTCTGAAAGTTAATGGGGAAGAGAAATTAAGTCGCATTCAAGTACAATTGATATATACCAACATGAAAACTGGAGGACTTATCCAGATCTCAACAAAGGATTTTTCTTAAAACCGTTTTTCCTCACCTATTCCGACTACTAGTCCGTGTCGTTTTTGCTCCTGAGCTGGTGCCCTCAGGGTCCACAACATCAGTCAGAGTCTCCTTTTCCACTTCTACATGATCAGCCCTTCCTCTCTGTGGCTCAGTGTCGTCAGAAGCCTCTGGCTGCACAGAAGGCCCAGGAAGCTCTAACTGCTCCGTGGTGTCTGTTTGGATGGGGAGGGACTCAGCTTTCTTAGCAGCGGCAGTCTTGCTGGTTTGTTTCCTCTTTGTCATTTTGGGCTTCACCTGCGGTTTGGCCATTTCTAAGAGAATGGGGTACACAATGAAACAACATGTGCCCAATATGAGGATAGTGCATGTTATAAGTAAGTATTAAAGTAACACATACCTTTTCTTCTAGTGCCTGTTTGTCTTTCCTTTGTCGGGGGAATTTCAGTCTCATCTTTATTCTGTCCAGTCTCTTGTACTGTAGATGGATGAACTGTAGTTCTCTCTGTTCCCATAAACACGAATAATCCACATTTACTATCAGAAATACATTTGCCATTAGTTTAAATAAATAACAGAATAAGGCAATCACCCTACCATGTGGGTCCACTTGATTCCCCTCAGTTGAACCCTGGTGTGTGTGAGAAAATAAAAAGTGTGACACATACAGACATTTCATCACATTTTGGCTACAAGTGGTTCCTTGCAACTTCACTTACATCATCTGGGTCTTTCACATGTATGACGCCTGTCTCATTACTGTCCTCCATGGGCACAGGCACAGTGACATTAGGTGAAGGCTGCTCTTCTGCTGTTGCCAAACTCTCTCCAGGAACACTGATGAGGAGGGAGGACAGTTGTAGAATCACACATCAAACAGAGTCACATCTACGCCTGCATGAGAGAAATGACCATCTGATAAAACAGCAGGCACTAACCTCTGTTGCTCTATTGGAGCATCTGTTACAGGAAGAGAAGGGAGGGGCTCAGACACACTGTCCACCCCCTCCCCAGATGAGCTGACTGGGATCTCGGTCAGAGAGAGGATGAAGAACGGTTCATCTGGATCAGAAGGATCCTGAGGCAACATCACTGAGAGGGAGAGTGAGAGAAGTGCTAGCCACCACCATGATGCATGTACTGTAATTAATAAACATTACAATATCAACCAACGTACTGTCTGGAAATGTTGTGAAGCTGGGATGACCTTGGGTCCCTCCTGCACTTGATGTTGATGCATCCTGGAAATGTGAAAGCAGAGAGAACCAATCAAGGATTCATCTTTTAATCAGAGGTACTTGACCAACCTCATTCAAAGGTATGCGATATGATTTTGTGTAATAGTTGTATTGTTGATGTACAGCGATCGAATGGCTGGACTATTTAACCATTAACTTTTAGGTAACTGCTTTATAGCTACTATTTGTATTGCATTCTCAAATGCAACATCTAGTGATCAGTTGTTACAGCTGATAAAATAATTTCCTTTTGGTTCTTTAAAAAAAAAAAACACAGAATATTTTTTTAGTATAATAAACAATTTTGTTTTTTCAAATAATTTGATATATTCTACAATCTTTTTATACATAATTTACCAAATGCAGAAGTACCACCTGAGGTACAAGCGACTATTATTGGGATTCACTGCCATAAAATATAAACTGGGTTCAGAGACACATTGTAAAAAATATATATATTGCTCCATGTCATAAGCACGGTCAACTATCAATAAGGAATTTCAACGCAAAAATATACTGCAATCATAGTGCTCAAAATACAACATTTCATGCATATCATTATCTCACCTGAGTACCTGTCGTGCAACCAGTAGACAATCCAGAAACCTCTACAAGGGGTTCATGTTGACTCAGTTGTTCAATTACTTTTGTTGAGCTTCGCAGTGAAGTATCAGCATCTTTTGGAGAGAGAATTGTGTTACTACTTTGATCAATGGCGCCCTCTACTGGTTTCTGGATGTCAGGTAGGAGTTCAGTCACAAGTTTGGGGCAAACTGAATCATCCCCACCTTCTGAGAGAATACCAACATCTGCTGAAAATAACCACCATAGGTGTTAAACAAAGAAACTGTAGGGTGATAGATTGCAGTAGTTTGAAAAGCTAAATGAGGTCAAACCTGCTTCTGCTTGTTGTGTATTCTTGACGTGTTGTGGAGGCCGTCTGCTGTGTCCCAGGGTGGGTTTGGGTTTAATAAGTCGGCCTCTACGAGTCGGGGGAGCTTTTCCAGAGGGAGAGTCTGTTGGCTCTGGCCGTTTATCATCAGGGCTGCAATTGGAAAACAACTTTTATTACGAGAAAAACAAATCATTCCTTAATATTTAATGTAAAACAAAAGCGTGTCAATGCAACATGACAACAGTAGTTGAATATTCCGGGATATGATTAATTTCTTACCTTTTGACACTTGTTTCATTGGTTTCAGAAGATTGTTGAACTGCATCTTGACTTGGTGCCTCAGGGTCATTTTCTGTAGGTGGCTCCTGAGTGCTTTCTTTTGGATCTGGTGTGGAGTATGTATTAGTAGATTGCATGGAGACAATTTGGGACTCTGTTGACCCATCTCCTGAAGACTGGACATCGGAAACTGTTGTTGGGCCATCTGTTGGTTGTGTAATTGTCTTTGTAGCTTTAAAGAACATGTCCTGTTTGCACTCACTTTGCGAACCAGGTCCTGCGTCATTATTATCAGAAGGCTGTTGTTCTGTGGTTAAAGAGGTTTCCATATGACACTGCTCTGCTGGTTTACAGATATCATTTGACTGCAGTTTTGAGCGTGTAGTTCTAAGAGATGATCCTAAATTGGGTTTGACCTTTGGAAAGCGCTGCCTTCTTTGTGAAACACTTTGTTCAGAGCCCTCTGAGCTTGACTCTAGCTCACATGCAACATTTTTGTTTTGTTCTATGGTTTTAGGAGTGGAGTCTAATTCCAATGATTGTACTGATACTGACGCAGTGCTATGGCTAGGTTGTTCAGAAGGGATGGTACTGCAAGATGGCTGTGCCTCTGCTGTTGTCTTTTCAGGTAAATTAGGTCTTGAAGTTGGGCTGGAGCATGTCTCTGCCTGAGGCATGGGTAGGTATGGGTCTTTAGTGACTTGAGGCTTTGAATGCGCAGTTCTCGACATCTGTGATAAGTTGGATTTGGGTTTGACTTGATGTAAACATATTCTAATAGTCTTACAAGAAGATTTGACTTCACTCGCTTCTTTCTGACTGACAGGTAACTCTATTACTGGTGTAACAGATGAAGCAGATTCTTCAGTTGACTCAGATGCAGGCTTTGTGTCTCTGGTTTTCTGTCCCCTACTGCGTTCAAACTGGGCCTCAGAGAGGTTCTGGGTTTCTGAGGCACTCTGTTGTGTTGTTGTTGAGCCTGATACAACTTCAAGGTCTGTCTCTTTCTCCTCAGTTGTAGACAGTTCCTCTGTAGGTTTAAGAGTTATCCCAAAATCCAATGATGGTCTACAGTCTGAAGAAGGGCCAGGACTGTGACTTGGTTTTTCAGAAGGAGAGGCGGTGCAAGTTGGCTCCGCTTCAACCTCTGCTATTATTTTTTCATGGAATCTGGTAGTTGGAGTCAAGTCCGAGTCTTTCTCTACGTTGTCTTTTGAAGTTTGGGCTTTAGAACGTACAGTCCTTGATGTCTGTGCTAGGTTGAGATTGGGTTTGATTTTCTGGAATCGACTTTTCCTTGCCTGACTTGTAGATTTGACTTCACTCCCTTCTTTCTCACCGACAGGTAACTTTTCAACAGGTGTCACACATGTAGCAGGATGGTCTTTGCTCTCTTGGACAGAGCCTTTGATGGACCCTTGTCCAAGCTGCAAGTCTGTGGCTGCTGCTTTAGATTTCAGTGGATTATTACATCTACTCTCAGATTTCACATCTGACATCAGAACTTCATCTGTCAACTTTGGAACATGAGGAACATCACTTTGACTTTGTTTTTCAGTTGAGGTGGTGAAAGTTGGCTCTGCTATTGTTTTTTCATGGAATTTGCTAACTGGAGTTGAGTCTGAGTCTTTCTCTAAGGTGTCTTTTGAGGTTTGAGCTTTAGAATGTATGGACCTTGGTGTCTGTGTTAGGTTGGGATTGGGTTTGATTTTCTTGAATCGACTTTTCCTTGTCTGAGTTGTAGATTTGACCTCACCTTTTTCTTTCTCACTGACAGGTAACTCTTCCAAAATTGTAACACATGAAGCAGGATGGTCATTGCTCTCTTTGACAGAGTCTAAGTTTGATCCTTGTCCAATCTGCAGTTCAGCGACAACTGCGTCAGATGTCAGTGGATTATTAAAACTACTCTCAGTTGTCAAAACATGAGACATTAGTACTTCATTTGTTGACTGCGATGTTGGCCTTACGTCTCTGGTGTCCAGTTCCCTTCTGCTTTCAAACTGAGCTTCAGAGAGGTTCAGGTTTTCTGAGGCACTCTGCTGTGATGTAGTTGCACCTGATATACCTGACAGTTCCTCTTTGGGAGTAAGAGTTATCCCAAAATCCAATGATGGTCTACAGTCTGAAGAAGGGCCAGGACTGTGACTTGGTTTTTCAGAAGGAGAGGCGGTGCAAGTTGGCTCCGCTTCAACCTCTGCTATTTCATGGAATCTGGTAGTTGGAGTCAAGTCCGAGTCTTTCTCTACGTTGTCTTTTGAAGTTTGGGCTTTAGAACGTACAGTCCTTGATGTCTGTGCTAGGTTGAGATTGGGTTTGATTTTCTGGAATCGACTTTTCCTTGCCTGACTTGTAGATCTGACTTCACTCCCTTCTTTCTCACCGACAGGTAACTTTTCAACAGGTGTCACACATGTAGCAGGATGGTCTTTGCTCTCTTGGACAGAGCCTTTGATGGACCCTTGTCCAAGCTGCAAGTCTGTGGCTGCTGCTTTAGATTTCAGTGGATTATTACATCTACTCTCAGATTTCACATCTGACATCAGAACTTCATCTGTCAACTCTGGAACATGAGGAACATCACTTTGACTTTGTTTTTCAGTTGAGGTGGTGAAAGTTGGCTCTGCTATTGTTTTTTCATGGAATTTGCTAACTGGAGTTGAGTCTGAGTCTTTCTCTAAGGTGTCTTTTGAGGTTTGAGCTTTAGAATGTATGGACCTTGATGTCTGTGTTAGGTTGGGATTGGGTTTGATTTTCTGGAATCGACTTTTCCTTGTTTGAGTTGTAGATTTGACCTCACCTTTTTCTTTCTCACTGACAGGTAACTCTTCCAAAGGTTTAACACATGAAGCAGGATGGTCGCCGTTTGATCCTTGTCCAATCTGCATTTCAGCGACAACGGTGTCAGATGTCAGTGGATTATTACAACTCATCTCAGATGTCCCAACATGAGACATCATATCTTCATCTGTTGGCCTTGTGTCTCTCGTGTCTGGTTCCCTTCTGATTTCAAACTGGGCTTCAGAGATGTCCTTGTTTTCTGAGGCACGCCGATGTGATGTTGTTGCACCTGATACACCTGAGAGTTCTTCTGTGAGAGTAGGAGTAGAGGCTAAATCTACTGACGGTTTCATATCCAAAGCAGGACTAGGACAAGGGGCTTGAGAAAGGTCAGGAGCCGCCGATGGGCTTTCTTCAGCTGCCCTTACTGTTGATGTCACCGGTTGTGATTTTGACTGAGCAGTCCTTGAAGCTTGGCCTAGGTTAGGTTTTGGTTTCACCTTGGATAATCGTGCTCTCCTGGTCGGTGGAGAATCTGTCTTTGAGGTCAATTGAGAGGTAGGATCCATATCAGAACCTGTCCTCTGATCACTGGATTCAAGAATGGGGATGTCATTATTGTCAATAATGTTTTGTAGCTCCACTATGGTAACAGTTTCGGACGTTTCTGTGACTTCATTAAGAGAAGTTGCAGACATAACAGGAGTGGCACGGTTTTCCTTTTCTGCATCAATCTTTGTTGCAACCTCTTCTTCTAGCTGTTCGCTGGTTTCATTCACACTGTCTGATGTTGTCCCTGTAATTAAACATTGTGGCACATTTTAAATTATTGTGATTTAATCTTAATGGAATGCAATATAAAGAACCTCATGTCTGCTTTGTCTCTTACCTGTTAATTGATCTTCTATGGCTATTTGATTCTGTGCTGACTGTGAGAGGTGAGCCAGGTTCCCAATGGTCAACAGGGTTTGAGCAGCCTCATTGTAGCTCTCGTCCTCAGATACTTAAACAAAAAAGAGCACCAACACATGTATGAGAATTAGACTTCTTAATATAAAATATTAATGTTTGCCACTGGGAACTACTCAGAATACCTCTTCAACCTACCTTCTGCATGGTCTATAGAAAGGAAGTCAATAACATCCTGCAAGGGAGACAAAAGAGTTGTCAGTCACATCAAAAGCTTTCCAAATAAGCCTGACTAGTTGTGAAAGGATGTGATGTATATGAAAACATGTATTATAATAGCCCCAGTTACACTTCTTTGTCAGTCTACATCATCTCTGTCAATTGATTACATCTGGACACCAACATATTTCGTTGAGGTGATCCAGCTTTTGCAACATAGACTTCACGCAACATAGTTGCAACTTGAATGTCTTGCTTTTTCATTGAAAAATGTACCAAAACTAACTTTGATGCCAACAAAAGTGTTTGATCCAGGCCTCCAAGTTGTATTGTATGTGTGTAACATAAATACAATAATAAAAAAAGGAGATTTTCAAATATAATGAGGTTGCATTTAATCAAGGTTGACCCTTAATAACTAATCAAATTATGTTGATCGATTCAAATGACGTGTTTTAAGATTAGATGTTAGAATTATAAGTGCATCTCAGGATAATGATTTAATTTCACTGGCATCACATTTGAGTTATAAGACACTTACAACAAGCAGGTCCAGCTGATGTTCGCAGGGTTCAGCTGTGCCTGTTTCTTTTTGTGCCCACTCGCAAGAGTCATCAGGGCAGAGTGCATTTTGGGAGATGCCCAACACATCAGGCATAGTGGCCAAGATATCAAGCTATATGTGGGATGGGGGAGTCAGATTGGAGGGTTTGAATTATGGAATGAAAAACCATACATAAAGAAAAACACAAAGATGCTAGTTATGTATGAAACTAAATTAATAGGGGGTGCATCTGTGCAAGACATGATAGTAAACCGTTTTTCATACCTCCTCCATTGTCTCTTCCACTTCTGAGATGACAGGATGTGGGGAGCGCAGAATGGCAGGCACAAATACGGGGGCAGAGCTGTCCCTACTTGGACTGCATGCAGCGTGCTCCTCCTCCTCCTCCAACTCTTCTTCCTCTCGCTGCTTTTCATCCTCCTCATCACTGTATTCTGACTGAGAAGCCCTGAGGGTGACTAATTTAGGCTTTTTGGACTCTTGGGATGATTGCTGCTTTGATGATCTTCCCCTCTTGGCTGTGGATTTGGGTTTAGGCCTGGCAGCAGAAGCAGTGGACGCATCTGGTGAGGCAGGACTGGTTTCGGATGCAGAGGCGGGTGCAGCCTCTTTGGCAGAGTAATTCAAGGGCTTGGTGGGTTTAGGCACTCTTCCATACCTATCAAATGCAATTACACACTGATGAGCTGCTTATGTTTTTATTATATTGTATATTATGTTGTTTCTGCATACAATGTAAGAAATCTGAAAATACAGCAGAGATATTGTACCTGGTAGGTTTTGGAGGTTGAGCGGTTGCTTCCTCCTCTTCAGAGGAATGATCATTATTGGCTGACTTACTATTTTGGTCTTGCCTTGAAGGTGATGTATCTTTTTTTACCTAAAAAGGTTAGCATAACTTTCAGTGAGCCAAAGTCACAGTATGAAGAAATATCTGATGACTCTCAGATGAAAAGGAAAATATAACAACCTGCTCTGTGGATACTCCATCAATCACACTCTCCTCTCCTTTATCTGATGCATCATCGTTGGTCTTGGTGGAGGGAGGTGGGGGCTTTTTAACCCTCTTCCGGCCCAACGGCAGCAGTGGTTTTGGTGCTCTGCCTCGGGAAAGTTTGGCAGGCTTGATCGTGCCATCCTTGGCTCCCTCAGTCTTTTCAGACCTGAATATTAGGGCAAAACATGGATTTGAATGCCAACTGAAGATGCAGAATACTCTATTTGAAACAATATTTTAAGTTGCATTACATGTCTGATTTTTGACAGTCCTCAGGAAGTGCTGCCTCTTTGTCTCCAGGTATAAAGGCCTCATCTGAGCATATGAAAGAAAAATAAACATTTCAATTTCTGTGCCGATACAACAATATATATCCACAAGTTTCATCAACACCATTCTTATAAAATAATGACATGGACCTTGTTCATTGCTCTTTTTATCCGTTTTGTTTTTCTTGTCCTTTGGTTCCTCAGTCGAGGTATTCTTTATTTTGCGTTTTTTCTTAGACTTAACAGCAGTGGTTCCCGCCTCATTACAGAGGTCCTCATTCTCCTTCTCTCCCTCTTTCTCCAAATCAGGATTTTCCTTCTGCTCTTCCTCATCTTCCTCCTCCACAACACTCAGCTTCTTCCCAGCTTTTTTCCGGCCTGTAGAGGAAACAGATGATTGTTAAATTGAGACAAACAAAGGACCAAAAGTGAAAAATGAAGCCCAGATAATGTCTTGTAAAAAAACAAAAAACGTTATGGGGATATAACACCAAACTCCCTATTGAAAAAGGAAAACAAGTATAATGACCCTTTTCTCTTTTCTTGCGCTCCTTTGGAGGTTTCTTCTCAGCCATTGCCTTCAGTTTCTTCCTGTTTTTATGAACTTCTAGTATCTTTTCTAAGAGTTTAGAAAAATACTCAATGTCCAGTTTGCGCCTTTCTCCTGCAAAAGTGTGGCAGTAAATATTACATTGAAATAAATGCAGATATTGCACATTGAGAACGATAGTAATTCAATATGATATTATTAGTATTGTCTTACTGAATACTTACTGAAAGCTTTGTCAATCCTCCAGGAATTCTCTCGCTCTTCTTTTTTAAATTTGTTCTGAAAGTTTAAAATCAATGCAATTAACACAAACAACATTTTATAAAAGAGTAATGAGCAGTGCTTTGCTTCTATACATGAAGTTTTATAAACATATGCATAGCTGTTATTATCACTAACCTTTATCTCTGATCGTGCTCTCAGAGGAAACAGCTGGCAAATCATGGAAAAGTCTGTTCCCACCATACTGATTGCCAGGAAGAACATGTCTGTCTCTGTTGGAAAACAGCAAACATTCATGACATTAAAGAGCCTGTGACACGAGTTTCCCCCATCATCCAAACCCATCAATTTGAGTAAATATTGTCCCCTTGAAAACCGTTACTGAACTGATTTTGGATATTTGTACTTTGATAACTATTAATCTGCCCTTCAATGTTGACCATTTTCTGGATCTTCTCGGGGATTCTTCAAGTCCCGCCAAATTATGTGTGACGTCATTGCGGGCACAGCGCTCCAGCTGCACCGTTCAGGATCCCAGCATCTGCATGTAAACGCACGATGGCGCACACAGCAGCAAGCTCAGACAGCGATGACAGTTTAATTTTGAACGTGTCTGAGAGCTCATATGAGGCTGAAGTAGGGCTGTGCAATTAATCGTATTTTAATCGCGATTACGATTATGGCTTGCGACGATTAGGAAAACAGCATAATTGACAAAATACGATTATTTTGCTGGGTGCGCTTTCGCCCCTCCCTGAAAGCCCACTCGGCCACGTAGGAGTGACATGTGTTGTGAGTGTTCAGCGCAAGCGAAGATGTCAGAACAAGAGCAGCAACTAGTTAAAAAGAAGGGTCGCGGGGAGATTCCCAGTCGATCGCGAGATGTGTCTAAAAATAGAACAACAATATTCTGTTTTATCGTTAATGTCCTGTAACATAATGTTCCCGTGCCAGAATAATGCACTTGAACGCATCAAAGCTTTGTGATTGGCCGGCCTCACCCCATGTGTCCGGGCGTGGCTGGTGAGCAGTGCACTAGTTCGCTGACGTTGTCCGTGTCAACAGCATGGATGGTCAACAGGAGTGACATTCCGCACACACACAAGACCGCAATTATGGCAGAAGCAAAAAAGCCCAAAATATATAATTTTCACTCCGAGTGGGAGGATGATTATTTTTGTATCTATTCCAATTCAAAGTCCATCTGTCTCATCTGCAATGCGAGCGTGGCTTTATCGAAGAAGGGTCATTTAGGAGCGGCATTTCAAAACAGTGCACAAACGCTACGAGACGGAATTCCCTCCTGATTCTGCCCTACGCTCCAAAAGGGGAGGGGCCTGAAAGGACAGCTAAATGCACAGCAGTCCATTTTCACCAGGCCCAACAACAAGAGCAAGGCTGCTACCAGAGCATCTTATCGCGTCAGTCACGTTCTTGCGAAACACATGAAGTCTTTCGAAGACGGCGAAGTTATGAAAGAAGCTTTCCTGGAGGCTGCGACGCGCTTTTGTGGGACAGTAAAAATAACAGCAGCATTTCAACAGGTTTTTGATATAATAAAAACTCAATTTAGATACCGTTATTAATCTGCTGTAAGTTTTAGTTTGTTTGAATTTATTCATGATAATTATTGTACAAAATGGTATAAGAATGCAAACATTAAGATCTGTTCTGTTTAAATTGATTATAGTCTATCAGTTCAGAAACTAGTGTTGCTTGCATCCTATTTTAAAGGCATTTCTTTTTATACTCTAATAAAATGCAACAAAAAATGGGTTTGATTCTATTAATGTTGTCTTTTTTATTACACTGTTGCTGCAGCAGATTCCTGTGTAGCTTCAGATCTGAGTTGTCTTATTAGTAAGCCTAATTTATACTTTTGTAGCAACACTATTTTAATATAATGGCAAAGAAAGGGTTCAGAGTCTTTTCTTTGTCCTGTGTCATATGTGGCAGCATTGCCACAAGTTCCTCTTCAGAGAGGGTCTTCAGTACAGGTGGCAATATCGTCACCTGCCTGCGCTCATCTCTGAAACCAGACCATGTAAACAGGCTGGTGTTTCTTGCAAAAAATCTTGAAGAGATGACATGAGCAGCCCTACCAGCATTTGCCATGGTGGCCTAAACATTTTTATTTGGTCTTAAATTGTAGTTCAACATTTATTTCCTGTTACTTCTGGACCATGACGGTTGGCCAGCCTTCAACGTTTAACTGAGTGGAATATGTTGAATATGTTTTACCAAAATGTTGGCTATATGTTAAGGAGTTTTCAGTAGGTTGTGACAGTGCACTGCAACATGTTTGATTTCATTTATTTTGGTCTAATTTTTTTTTTTTTATCATATTAATAATATATGTTTAGTATGGTTTTGGAAGTGCGCTCCAACATATTTATTGATCTTGTTTATTGGTAAAATATTATTTGTTTTAAAGTTCAATAAATGGTCAATGAATAATCGTCAAAATAATCGTGATATCAATTATTGACCAAATAATCGTGATTATGATTTTTGCCATAATCGCACAGCCCTAGGCTGAAGGATCGGTTTATGTTGTATCTATTAGAGGTTTATTAGGTGCGTCAATATGGGCGATCATACGGTCATGTAGCCAGTGGTGGAATGGGACTAAAAATCATCCCGGGACTCTCGACCGGCCCACTTCGGTACCGCTAGTAAATTGTCAACGGGGGGAGTGGGGGATGTCAGGGGCGGCGGGTGCTGTAGATAGTAAATGTAAATATTTGTGTCACTGCATCCTGGTAAAATACAAATATAATGCAATGTCTGTGTCTTTGACATTAGCGCTGCTCGCCACCTGTGCCCTGTACTACGAAGCCAGTTCAACAGACCCTGGATATGTTTGAGTAACAAACAAACTAACAACAACAAACTAACAAACGAGATCTCGCTAAGCGGTCCTACGACGCTGGTTATCAACTCGGTAAATCAAGCCAGGTTTTCTCTCTCCAGCTGAGAGCGCGTTCACGTCTAAGACACGAGTGGATCTGACTTTAATTACATTTGACTTGAGTGTTTCGTCAACATAATGTGTTGCTAAAAATAATACTTCTGCATACAGTATGTGACACTGTAAGTGTTGCACGGCCAGATACGGCTGGAGAAGCTGACTCAGATAAGGAAATATATGATATATTATGATATTATTAGGGCTGTCAAACGATTAAAAATGTTAATCAGATTAATCACAGCTTAAAAATTAATTAATCATGATTAATCACCATTCGAACTATGTCCAAAATATGCCATTTCTTTATGTATATTGTTGTGGGAATGGAAAGATAAATGAAAGAAGGCGGATATATCCATTTAACATACAGTATCTATGTTTATTATAACATTTTTCTGCGTGTCAAAATGAAAGACAACCCACACACCTATCAATCATCAAACCGTGGGGTCTGAATTCATTACGTGTTGATTTCTATCAACGGGGGAGTACTTCAGGAAAGTCGACAGAGGGGGGGGGGGGGGGGGGCGCTAGTGGAGTACTTCGTGACCACAGAGTGTGAACGTTGTGATCAGCTGTTTTAGCGCAGTTCTCCAGTGAAGGGGGGGGGGTGAGTCTCCCTCCGCAGCCGGTTGGCGTAGTTTTGGCACAATTCCGTTGTACAGACCGACGTTAACAGCAGCCCTGTCTGTGCACACGGAGACCGACTCTGTCGTCCGGTGATCTAACCGCCTTCTGGAAAAGCTTCACAAGTACGTCGGTACGCAAATGCGCTTTGTGACACAAGTGACGGTACGCATTTCAGATTACACACATAACCTGCGTACCAGTTATGTGTAGGGTTGGGAACCGATAAGAAAATGCCGGGTACCGGGTACCCATACAAAATACACAATTTCGGTTCTGCTTAACGGTTCCTAAACGCGGTAGACCCTGTATTCCAGCGGGTCCGTCTGCACCGCGGTGCTGCGGTGACCCGGTGGAATACAGGGCGGACCTGGAGAATCACAGAACGGCCGGTCGTCAGCGGGCCGTTGACGGCCGGCTCGGTACGCTGACGGCTGGCACCGCCCTTCATTTTTTTAAACGGCATCATATAAATTGCGCTGACAGGCGACAGAGGTCCACAGTTGCCCCGCAGCGATGCTCCCCCGCCCTCCCGTAGACATTTCACGAGCTCAGTCACTTCATAACACCAAAGATAGGTCGCGGTAAACACTCTGAAGTGAGGCTCCACTACACTAAAAAAGAAAAAGAAAAGGCAAAGTGTAATGCCTGTTAATAGCTTGCCACAGGCATAGCTCAGTTAAAATAAAGCACAGCTATTGTGCAATACATTTGTATTGCATGTATATTTTTTAGTAACAATTTCAGTTAAAGCTTTTAAGAATAAATATATTTTTGTTATCTAAACGTTTGACCTCTTTATTTTTACAATTTTGGAATCGAAACGGGGAATCGATAAGAACCGGAATCGATAAGCAGAACCGGAATCGAAATCGGAATCGATACATTTCAAACGATACCCATCCCTAGTTATGTGCACCCCGTACTACAGCAAAAGTATTCTCCGTCGAGACTTCCTGCAACAACACCACGCCGTTATCAAAGATGTTCTATTGAGAAGACGATCACTACGTGATAAAAGTTTTCAAAACCGTGGATACTGAAATCAATCTTACTAACTGCTGTCTGTGCAATTTACTCCGCGTGAGTTGGCAGACTTTATTTTGCTTACTTTAACATCATTTTTCATGGTGGGGCTAAGCCATTTCTTGGTATGGGTGTAGCCTACCCCAGCCATACCCTGGCGCTGCCACTGGTATGGGGCGGGCCATTCTGCACATGCGTTAAATGCGTTAAATATTTTAACGCAATTAATTCAAAAAATTAATTACCGCCGTTAACGCGATAATTTTGACAGCACTAGATATTATATGATCGATTATCTGATTGATGATGTAATATGAATGATAAGTGCGACACGTCGGCGTCTTCTCTGCATACGGCAGTTTAAACTATATTTCCTTTATCCTGTAATATGACTTGAGAGATTTAAACTCTGCACACTGAGCTCTGATTGGTCAGCAGGCGGTGCTTTCACTGAGTTGATCTCTTTTCTATAGACGCTGGAGGCGGGCAGCGTCAGGTAAAAAAAGTTATTTAGCCTTCCCAAACCTGAGCCTCACGCGCCGCCTATGGGGGATGTGCTAGTGACTTATCCGACCGGCCCACTTCGGTACCGGCCCATCGGGATTGGAAATGGGGGACCCTGATGTAAACAAGACGAAAGTCTTTCTCTGGTCTGCATCCCCTTAACAATTGTATGTTTTGAGCTGTACTGTACTGTACCCAATATACAAGCTGTTAATAAACTTTTCAATCAATCAATGGCCAGTCCGCCACTGCACCCAGCCCACGTAAACTGTCAACGGGGGGAGCCTCGCTGCGGGGAAACGGTGGACCTAGTGTCCCGATCGGAGTGGGAATAATAATAATAATAATCCGTGCATTTTATCCATTAATTTCCCCAACATTGTGGTAAAAAAACCACACGTTTAATCCATGTTGGTGTACTACAACTACAAAAAGCATCGGTTTGTTTTCTCATCGGGAAATGCAGACCGGCACAAACAAACGATTTTTAATCATCATCCTCACGATCATTTAATCTATCATATGTTCGCCGAATTGACATGAAAGCACTAATAAATGTAGTTTCATCCACTTGAGTTTACAACTACAAAAATAATCGATTTGTTTTTATATCACATCCTACGGGAGGAAATTCAGCAGCTCTCACTACCGATTTTTAATCCTAATGTAATCATCATCTTCACCACGATCATGTATGTTTATGTTCGCCGAATTGACATGAAAGCACTGACAAATATGAATATACTGTAGTCAACTTCATTAAAACGTTATTAACGTGCCTAAACTCAGTAATTCACAATTTCTACGCATGACAACACACTTTGTCCGTGTTTGGCTCTCTCGCCGCACAGTGAAGCGTTCCCGCATTGACGTCACTTCCGGCTTCCCCCAAAACTTCAAAATGAGTCGAAGGAATTTCCCCGCGATGTTCGAAATTATTGATATTTAACGGAACGGTATCGCTTTTTCTTTTTTAAACTGACGGTTCGAGATTACTAGTAGCCCAATATTTCATTGCACAACAGTTGTTGGGATGCTGTCACAGGCTCTTTAAGGCATTAATAAATGTGTGCTGTAAAAAAAGAATTCCCATTCTTGTTTACTTCTCTATTATCCATATCTTCCTACCTTCGCTGGACCAGGGTTTGCAGTAGGTCCCTTTCCTGAAGCTTGAGTAAGTTGTAGTGGAGCCACGCTCAAAGACGGGGTCTCGCTCATTTGCTGGATTTGGCCCTTTGGCTCTCTGGACTTCCACGGTCAAGCTGAGACACAAGTTGAGAGGTTATGATTAAGACCACAATAGATTCCTGCATCTGCATTATCTCTATAAGGATGCATTTGTTGACAATGTTGGACAGTTCAACTCTTAAAGTAATGAAACTGTTGAGTCTACAATAACTGAGAGAATGCAGTAGATAGATAATGATATGTCCTGTAGAAGTCTACCAACCTCTCTTCATCAATGATCAGTGTGCCGTCCTCTGCAACTTTGACCCGAGGAACCATCACAGCATCAGCATCATCATCCTCCTCCTCCTCCTCTTCCTCCTCATCCGCCTCTGCTTCCTCCTCACACTGGCTTGGCATTTTTGGGACGAACTCGGGTTCCTGCACTTTCTCTGGGACGCTGCAGCGATACATCGCAAACATCAGACACAGGGAAAATGTATGGAATGCAAACTACTGTCTAAAAATGTCCACACATCAAGTGTTTTAGTTTGATATAAAACATATCAGAATTATACAATGTGCATGTATCATTGGGTTTCTAATAAAACAAAAACACACTTTCGCATTGAATGGCTCTTGCACTAATTAAACTCATCTGAGTTTAAAATATATTCTCAATTTCCACTTTTGTAAAGACCATGATGTATTTCAATGATTTTCAAGAAAACAGGACAGAAGAAGCATATATGTTTTTGTAATTGTGTTGATCAAAATAAGGACGTTAAGAATGTATGTATGTATGTATGTATGTATGTATGTATACACTGTATGTAGGTGTATGTGTATGATCACATGTCCAACATCATTAGAAAAAAAGGAAATACATTTGATAAAGATGATGGGTTTAACTTACTTTTGTCCTCCTGGAGAAGGTGGGACCACAGTCTCATTCTCTACAACTGACTCTTCCAAACTAGATCTGGAAAAATTGCAAATGATGGTCACACAGGACAAGGAACCAGAAACAGCCTTCATGTGAAGAAAGATAAAGGATAATCAATAGAGAGGATGCATGGATTACATGTTACACAAGGTTGAGTAAAGCAGAGAAGACACTTACGTCATGGGGTTGGACTGTGGTAGATAACGGATAAGGTCCCTCATGGTCATTTTGGCAGGATCTAAGTCAAATTCCTTTTCCCTTTTCTTAGATCTCTTAGTTTTCTGCAACATCAGATAATAAACCAAATCAACATACAAGTCGAACTGTACAATAGTAATAAGTATGTAACTAAAACTAAGAAAGTGAAGAAAATGAGGAGAACGATACTTACTGAATAATCTGAGTTTACCTTTTCTTTGTGCATCTCCTCTCTGAGCAGGTCTCTGAGTTTTTGGGCCTTTGCAAGCCTCTGTAAGTCTGAAGGGTCATTCAGGAGGCGACTCAGGGAGAACGCTGGTGTTGACAGTGACAGCCTACTCTTAGATGACATTAGAGTCCTGGCTTTCTCTGATATTGCAATAGCTTCTTTGTCTGGTAGAGAGAGGGGCACTTTATCCGGGAGACGGAAAGAAGCTTCATTTCCTTGACTGGCTGAAATGTTTTCAAATTCTTTGCCAGTGTTCGCCAGCAAAGATTTATTTTCTGTAGAGTCCTCAGCTGTAGGTATAACTGAAGGCTCTGAAAGGATGGTGGTTGGTTTGGGTTGAATTATTTGCTGCTTGCTCTCTTCTGAAGGTCTCCGTCGCCTTGGGGACTGCAGTCTCTGAGGGGCTGATGCAGTCCCAGTTTGGCTGGACGTATTTGGCTTGTCATGGTCTGAAACAGGGGTTTCAGAGGCTGACTTGACAGGGGTTCTTGTTTTCCGAGCAGCAATAGAGGGGCGGCCTGGGGCCACTTTAGGCTTGATGGAAAACCGCTTCCTTCTCTGGAGGGCTGCTGAGGAGCTGGTACCTTCCACATGTTGGTCAATACCATCCCTATAAAGAAACAACAATAGTTATTATTTGTAGATGACAAAAACATTAGACGAGCAATGTCATTCTTATCACTCACCCTGGGACTGTAGGTGTTTCTGATGGGGTCACAGCAGGCTTGTTATCTGTAACAGCAGTAGCAGTGGAGCTCTCACCAACGTCGTTAGGGGTCTCACTGGTCTCCTGACTTGCTGAAGGGGATTCCTGAGGTGTTGATGCTGTTTTTCCTGTAGCACCAACATTGGGCCGGATACTAAATCTTGACCGACGGAACATTTTGACCTGAAAACACACAGGAAGTCAAAGCTGCATTGGTATTCCTGCAACAAAACCCTTAAAAGTGCAAATAAGGAGTGGAAAACATTTAGCCTTATCATGTGCTCAGTCCTTATAACGGCCCGTCCACACAGCAGCTTTTGGCGATTTGTCCACCGCTTCCAGCGCGTCTCCGCCCATTGACTTTGAATGGGGATGACGTCACTTTCCCTTGCTTGTCGCCGAATTGCATTGTGGGGGGGCGAGGCGAAGATTTCCAGGATTTCCAGGATGTTCAGGATTCCAAAGTTGAACAATGTTCAACTTTTGAGGCTGACAGTTCAAGCTCTAGCCAATCAAACCGCTATAAGCAGGGAGAACCAGACCGCAGTTCATTTCCTCATATTCCAAACGAGAAATTACGGTAGCAAATCACCCGGTTCTTTACGACCAGACTATTTACCGGGATACAAACCGGAGGAACCAGGCATGGAGGGAGGTGCCAGAGACAGTGGGTGAAACTGGTAGGTTTTCGCTTGTTTGGGGATTTTATATCCAGTTTACTTCGTTGCTAGTTTACTTCGTTGCTAGCAAGCATAGACAGTATCATTAGCCCGCATGGAATGTAGCATAAAATAGCACCATAAACATTAATCTCATAAATGTTCAAAATGTTAAAAAAAAAAAATGTTCATCATAGCCCTTCCTATTTGACAATAGTGTAGAAGAACCGGGTTGTTTTGCTTTGTATCTCGGGGGCGGGATATTCATGTGATATTCATGTGATTGGTTGTTGGTCGCGAAATCCTCAATCTGTCAGACACGCCCAGCTCCAGGATTTTCAAGATGTGGTCAAAGCTGCTGTGTGGACGGCCCGTAAGACACGTCCCCTAATATCTTATCAGCACAAGTGTAACTGCTCATTTCACCACATTCAGATCACTAAATCAATACCAATAATGTTTGCAAACATTTCTTCATGTTTTAACCTATTCACTTTACCACTGCTGCCATATTTTTCAAACGCATGTAAAAAGTAATAGTAGTTTGTTTTAATAACAACTTTTCTGAAAGATTACATTTAACTTTCAAGGGATTTACACTACAGAATAAAACACACTTTGTGGTAACACAGAATTACTTTCACAATTATCATTTTGCCTTGTACAAGATGTACTGTTGTGTATACGTGTCTAATACACTACATCATCTAGATACAATTGAAATACTGACTTCTGCATACAATATACACTTTCTTTCCGAGTATTATTTTAAGATATTATGACTACAGACTATTGTTTTGATGAGGATTAGCTTGCATTTATTTAAGCATGAGTACATAGTGCGACAGAGTACATAGTGTGACAATGTACTGTTACCTTACGTTAGCACTTATGCAGGAGCAATAGCGAGAATACATGCAGCTTTCTGCAAGCCTCAGCTATTCTATCAGCGGACAGGACTAGTGACGTTGACAGTTTGTAAAGATAATCACAAGGAAATACGCCCCAGCAGTGTGAATACGTTAACACAACCTAAACTCAGTCAAGAAGTATTACAACGAGACAATAATGCGAAGACAATGCGAAAAGTGCACAAAGCTGGACTAAAACTCGCTTGACAACACTTTTAGTAAGCGGGTCCTCCTCACTTGGACCGTCGTATAGTATTCTTCATATTTTAAAGCTGAGGCAGTTACATTTATATTGAGTTACGTCAAAAATAATTAAATGACCTTGAAATAACTTACCCGTTCAAAAATATCTCATTTGCTGGGAGAAATAGGCTTACATTTATCGAAGATAGCTAGCTGGTAGCGGACCCCATGCACAAACTAATCCGCCATGTTTTTCATGACGCGATATTTTCGTGAGGGAAGGGGGTTGTGGGAAATGTGGTCAGCTCGCTGCAAAACGACTGGCTGAGGCAAGAGCGTGAGGTTGTTTTTGCATGGATTTTCTTAAAGACTCAGCAGCAATGCTATGAAACTCTTTGAAGGCTTTGAAAACATTATCTGTAATATATTACTCAGTATATTATAACTAATTACAATATTTTTAAAGCAAAAGCAACAATGTACCAATCCAAAAATAACCCTAACAAATCACGTGTTTTTTGCTTGAGAAGTGCAGAAGAATTAACAATCAAATGTGACTACATTTCAAATTAGGAGGTTGTTAATTCTGATAAATATGTAAGCAGCTTTTGGTGTTGGTTATTTTACACAAAACTTATATTTCATATTTGAGGCTACCACTGGAGAGATCATTGATTGTGTTTTGTTATAGTTTTCCATTTTATTCTAACTTAATTTACATTTTGTTAAAATGTCAGAAAGATACTTTCTAGATAAAATGTGCTCTTAAAAAAAAATACATTCCCTCTTTTGTAGTACTTTAACTTTAGCACAATTTAGATTGCATAGCTTTAATAAAGAGCATTTCCAAATGAGTTGTTTTTTTACAATCTGAATTTTTCTTGTTTCAATTTATACAACCCATAAGGCGGCTATTTAACATATTTCTGTATATATCCATCAATCAATCAATCAATGTTTATTTATATAGCCCAATATCACAAATGTTACATTTGTCTCAGTGGACTTTACAGTTTGTACAAAATATCAGTATGACAATACGACACCCTCTGTCCTTAGACCCTCACATCGTACAAGTAAAAACTTCCGAAGAAAACCCACAGTTTAAAGGGAAAAATGGGAGAAACCTCAGGGAGAGCAACAGAGGAGGGATCCCTCTCCCAGGACGGACAGACGTGCAATAGATGCCGTGTGTAAATTGAAAAGATAATACATTTGCAAAATAGGTAGTCCAAATGTTTGGAAATGCATGTGTGTATAATAGGAAGATGAATCCACGAGGATATCCATCCAGGACCTATGATCCAGGACCACAGCCACGACTCAAGATCCAGGGCTCGCGATCCAGGACAGAGGAGCGCAGGATCATCCATGACTCCGGATCCCGGCGTATATAGACACCAAAAAGAAAGACATTTGGGGAAGCTGGGTTAATCGGAACATGAGAGTACACAGGTATAGACAGAGAGAAGGAAGAAGTAAGATGTCCCCCGACAAACTAAGCCTATATCAGCAAAACTAGGGGCTGAATCTAATCAGCCCTAACTATAAGCTTTATCAAAAAGGAAGGTCTTAAGCGCACTCTTAAAAACGGATAGGGTGTCTGCCGCCCGAACACAAACTGGAAGCTGATTCCACAAATGTGGAGCTTGATAAGAAAAGGCTCTGGCTCCCATTGTACTTTTAGAGACTCTAGGAACAACCAACAACCCTGCATTCTTAGAACGCAATGCCCTAGTAGGACAGTAGGGTATGAGTTCTTTAAGGTAAGATGGCGCCTGCCCATTAAGGGCTTTGTAGGCGAGAAGAAGAATTTTAAATTCTATCCTGTGTTCTATAGGGAGCCAGTGTAAGGCAGCCAGAACAGGAGTAATGTGGTCCCTTTTCCTAACTCTGGTTAGTACACGAGCTGCAGCATTTTGAATCAGCTGAAGCGACTTGACTGACTTCTTGGTACACCCTGATCCATATGTATTTTATTTAATAATATGGAACTTCAGTGATCGACAAAGCCTATGATCTAGGTCTGTTGAACCTTAAGTGGTTTCCAACATTACTTCACTAACTCAGTCTGAAAAAGTCAATGAACAACTAATTATTGAATTATTTTATTTCTTTAATACAGACAGCATCAGCAGTGAAACTCTTTGGACGTGCTTTTTTTTCATACAATACATTTCTATCTTCAGCAGATCAGGACAAAACATTTATATTTTTCAATCAGTGGTCTTTACAAATAAGGGGAACTACTGATTGGATAGTAAAAACAACACCATCAGAGGTTGAGGTGTAAAGGAAGGGTGGGCTCGGGACAAGAGTTAGAAACGCTCATCATTTGGATTGTCTTGCGCACGTTGTAGCAGCTTGTCCCAAATATTTTATTTGACGTGAAGATCTCCATTAGCTCCATTTTAACTGTAAGGGCAGAGAGAAGAAAAAACTGTGAAGATAATATGTATCCCCTTTAGATTAAATACATTTAGTAATAATCAATCATAAATGCAAACTTACTTATAGACAAAGTTATGGTCAAGCAAAGGGATTTCCAAAAGGATCCCCAAAATCTGCTGTTGATCCAGAGTTCAGCACAGCAGGCTGCTGTCAAATAGAGAACAGGAATTCAAATTCATTACTGAGAGTCTGGAAAAGACACACTGTGTAAATGTTGCGTCTGTGTAAAACTATGTACCATGGCTACAGGCGGCCCTCCAAACACACTCGAATCGGGGGCCCCAAATGCTTGATCAAACATGTCATGTTTGGGTCCCTGGGCTGGGGTTGAATTATTTGCAATGGGAGCAGAAGAGAAGGCGGCATCTAGCAGGCCGGGGTTAAAGCTTTGAGCTGCAGCTGGCACAGGAGCTGGTTTAGAAACATCTAACAACAGACACATTACAAGGACACTATTAGTGACAAATCTCACACATAGTCAACTTCCAAAATTGTAGGTGATTTACCATTTACAACGGCTGACATTTGATTGATATCAAAATCATCATGATCAGCATTATCCTGCGGCAGGCCCACTTTATTGTTAAAGTACTGATCGAATGCCCCGGCTTCGTTGCTGCCTGGGGGGGGAGCAGCGTTTGACACTAGGTCTCCTTTCCTCGCTGGGATGGCAGGGGGCTTGGCGATCTGGAAGTCCTTGAACATGTCCTTTCCACTCTTCTTCTCTCTATCTCCAAGGGGGTCCAGAGATGTGAAGGCACTGTTCTCTACCTTTGGAGGGGCTTCCTTAACAGGTGGCCTAGGAGGGGGGCGTGCCGGACCCTGCTGGTCACCCATTCCAGGGAACTGGCCAGGCTGGAAAGGATTGGTCATGGCGGGCTGACCCCAACCTGGAGCACCTGGTGGAGGCTGGCCCCAGCTGAGGTGAGGCGGGGATAAGGGTGCAGCGCTGAACTGAGGGGGCATCTGCTGGCCCCAGGCTGTGGGGGGAATGGGTAGGCCACCGAAGGCAGAGGGCTGTGGATAGTTGGGCCTCTGCCCTGGAGCTCCTGGCATGGGGAACATGGACGGTGCAGCGGCGGGGGCTCCCCACATGCCTGCAGCAGGGACGCTTGTGATAGCTGGAGGACCTAACTGAAGATTCCCTGGATATAAAGAAAAAGGGATTTCAAAGTTTAAAAAGGGAAGGGAGTGTAAAGCCTAAAAAAATACTGTATATCTGAATCAAACACAATGTCTCCCTTTTGTGTATTACCCAGAGCAGCTATGGAGGAGGGGTAGGAGTTGGCGGGCGTGCTGTTGAAATAGTCCCCTGAGGCGGGGGGTGCTTCAGATTGAGCAGGGGCAGCAAATAGCTCTGCTCCAAACAGATCGCCTGCTGTGGACTATTCAAGAAAGTTATAAAATAGTATTATATACTTTATACATTTAAAAAGTTTCATTTCACCTCATTGACATGATAACTCACAAGATAAACAGTATAGTAGAAATTAGGTTTAAACAAAAGTTGAACCAATTGTTTACTGCAATTATGTAGTCGAAAGTACTACATTACCTGAACATTGATACGACACATGCTTTTCCACTTACCACTGCGTTTATCACTGATGCATGAATGTTAGAAAATAGATTTAGAGTAGAAATGACAAAAGGTAAAAGTGGATTGTTCAGCAGCACAGTCAAAGTGTCATTTATGCAAGCCAGTTAGAGAAGCATGTGACCACCAGTGCATGCACGAAGACAGAGTGGATCCAACCAGGAACCCATAACCTTATCCAAACAAAAGCATCCTGTCATATCCTGTCAGACACCAGTGCATAACCCAAGAAAGGGATGTGTTAGCAACCTGTGCATTCAGCCCATTTAAGGCATCACACATGCAAATCTAGCATGATTCATCTAGCTATGGAATTTCACCTTTGCACTCCTTCGACCTCGTCCAGCCTTAGAGCTCTGCGGAGGCGGACTTATGACAACTGAATCCTTGCTATGAGCCAATGGGGGTTGTGGGGGAGGAGTTATGTCATTAGAGACAGGGGAAGTGTTTAATGATGAGTCAAAAAAAGGGTTTTTGGTTGAGAGAACTGTTCCAGATTCGTCCATCATGGTGATTGTGTTGCTCTGAGTTATTTTGCCCCCTAGTGGCCACTGTCCGTTACTGAGAGCGAGGATCATGGTTTTACTGGATAACCCATTTATCTGCTGACTGAGGTGTTTGGGGTCTCCATTCAAACCACTGTTAATAATTGTTGTGCAAGTGTTGCCAGCAGTGCTGTTTAGGTGATTACTGGTGGGGGGGGAGATCTGTGAGTTATGGGGTTCTGACCAAGGGGGTGATTTAGAAAGCGGGTCATCTCTGAAAGGGTCACTGTCTGGGGTTGGAAAGTAGCCAAATGTTGAGGAAAAGGGATTCTCTGTTTGGGGAGATGCCCTATGGTCAGGGGCATAGGAAGTTACAAAGGACGGTCCCTTTATGCAATTCTGATTGCTGTCAACTTCAGCAGAAAAGTCCAGCAAGAGCATATCATTAGATTCCTGGTTAACATGAGAGGGGCAGAAAAAAAAGAGAATTATGAATCAGTTCTGCAGAAGGAGAAAAACACATGTGTTAACAAAATGAAAAATGAATCACATGGTGTGAAAAGACAATTTAAAGCTGCTACCTGTAGAATATTTACCTCAAAATGAAAATAAATGTCACGGTAAAGCAAAGTCCAATTGGAAAAATTGACTAATTGCTAACTTGCCTTTGTCATCAGCAAGGTTGAAGTCAGCACTAACTCCATGACCTGAAACTGGGCTTGTGAATTTTC